CGAGCCTCAGGCGGCCTATTGTCTCCTGAGTTAATAGACTAGATTAGTCTATATTATTCCATTTTTTATTGCGTTCATTGTGGTGAGAACTGGCAAACAAGAGCAGCCTCCAAGGCCAACTCTGGGTAAGGGAACAATCGTTCCTGTGGCCGAGTCCAACGCCCCTTCTCGTCAGCTGTGTAAACTCTGGAAGGTGGTCCCAGCAGGCTCCCGTGTGGAGCCACTTCCTATATTTCGGCAGCCTTTTGTATTTCTGTTCTCGTCCAGCTGTGAGCCCCGAGCGAAGGAAGCAATCTGTTTCGAAACTGAATAGGATTCAAAAGAGAGCTGGCTATTGGAAGGGGAAAGGGAGTCTTGAGACGGAAATGGTAGAAACGGGCCGCACAGACAAGGTCCAGTGCACTTCTACGGCTTAAACAGAGACTAAGGCTTTTGAGCACCCCATATGTACGAATAACACTGTTTCCCTGTAACATCTTAAGGGGGACAAAAGAGTGGCCTTCTTTGACAGGCTCTGACCACGGTTTTCCTGATGGACACACGTCTACCTGGCATACGGCAGATCACCCTGGCCAAAAACCTGCCAATGAATACTTTGTTGATAGTCCTGTCTTAGAGAACCATGGTCAGTTTTGTATATAACCTGTACCCTCACTTGGACATGACTCTCACCATGACGCAGTAAAAACAGGGAGTGGCTAGAACTGGAGCCATGTGGTCAAATTTGCTCACATCAGTCACCCGTCTGGCTACCGCATTCTGGGCCCACCAAAGTCACTGGATCAGGCCCAAGGGAAGCCCCACCTAGACAGCATTGCAGTAGTCAATCCGGGAAGATGACCTGTGCTTGCACCCTTGATCCACCTGGCCTTTAAAATGAAGCACATACTGCCTGTGGGTGGCTAAAAATGTGCAATGCTGAGCAAGTCACTAGAAGCTTGGATCTCCTCTGTCGTTCTGGCAGAGATCTCTGGGTGCTGCTGTGCAAAAAATCGTGAAAATCTGACCCACAGCTGCTGCAACCTCAGGGATTTTATATGTGTGTCGCTTTTCCTTCAGAATCAGATCTGCTGCCCGGCCAAAAACCTGCCAATGAATACTTTGTTGATAGTCCTGTCTTAGAGAACCATGGTCAGTTTTGTATATAACCTGTACCCTCACCTGGACATGACTCTCACCACGACGCAGTAAAAACAGGGAATGTTTATTTATTTCCACTGCTTTTATGTATGGAGAAGTGTGTTTGGGTCTACCAAAGCACACACTGAAATCGGTGAGTCTTTGAAGTGCTGCAGAGTTTTGCCTTTTCCCCCCTCCCCCCTCATTTATTTATTTGTTTCTTTGTTTGTTTGTTTAACATACCAGCCCATGAGCACAAAAGCACTATTTGGGTGTGTGGGGGGATGACAAGTTAAAACATAGATTACAAGATCAATGGACAGAAGGTTCGAAACCCTAGCAGCATTAAAAACCAAATGGTGCCAAAGACAAGTTCCCAATAAGAGCAGGATAGGAGTTAAACCGACAGTCCCCCAGGGACAGGAAAAGGAATGTTTTGAATTGTCTTCTTGGAACGACATCAGCGAGGGAGCCAGACGTAACTCCTCCGGGAGCCGATTCTGTTGGTTTGGTGCCACCGCGGAGAAGGCCCTGCCTTGTAGAAGACTTTCAGGCCTCCCCCGGGGTGGCTGCATGGAGGAGCATGGCCTGGCAAGATCGGGTGGGTCAGGCAGATGACATCGGGGAAAAGACGCTCCGACAAGTAACGTGGTCCCAAACTATGGAGGGCTTTATACATGGGTGTCCAAACCTTGAACCTGATCCCGGACATAACAGGAGACAAGCTAGAACTGGAACCATGTGGTCAAATTTGCTCACATCAGCCACCCGTCTGGCCACCACATTCTGGGCCCACCAAAGTCACTAGATCAGGCCCAAGGGAAGCCCCACACAGACAGCACTGCAGCAGTCAATCCAGGAAGATGACCCATGCTTGCACCCTTGATCCACCTGGCCTTTAAAATGAAGCACATACTGCCTGTCGGTGGCTAAAAATGTGCAATGCTGAGCAAGTCACTAGAAGCTTGGATCTCCTCTGTCGTTCTGGCAGAGATCTCTGGGTGCTGCTGTTCAAAAAATCGTGAAAATCTGACCCATGGCTGCTGCAACCTCAGGGATTTTATATGTGTGTCGCTTTTCCTTCAGAATCAGATCTGCTGCCCTCTCCCCGTGAAGTCCACTTCCTGGCTCCCTGTTTTTCTGTGCAAAAGGACTTTCCGAGGATAGAAAGTTTCTTGAGCCATGATGCCTCCTCTGCTTGTTTCGAAGGCCCTAAGTTATGAATGCTAAGGGAGGAAAAACAAATTGTCTCCTTTTTGCATACACCATACATTATTCGTTTCTGTACCTCTTCCACGCCACCCTTTCCCACGGGCAAAGCTGGTTTAGGGGATTCTGGGAACTGGAGTCCTAAACAGTCACTTTTCCAAGCTTCGGCTCTTACTACACCCATGTTGCTAAACGAGAAAGCTTCAAGCCATCCTGTCACTCCCTACCGGGAAGATGCTCCATGTGGCTTGAGATGCACCACTTATTATCCTTTCTGCTTTCTACTGTTCAGACGAGGCGCCAAAACAGGAGGTTAGTTATCAGCAGACTTTTGCAGGAGTGCAAAAGAAAACCCCTCTGCCCCCCAAAACCCATACACTGGTATGAACACACACACACCAACAGCCCAATGAAGAATGAGCATACTCAGGAGACCTAGAATGTTTTCTTTTA